CTTGGCCGTACATCGTGAGTCTTTTCCCTTGGCCTCTCTGATATGGGAAGGGACTTAAAAAGCTACAGTGTATAAGGTCACAATGACCAGAGAATGACGTATAGACAAGAGAGTGCTGAGAAAACGGAGAGACGCGTTTGAAGAGATTACGTTCAAGTTGTCCCTAGACAATTTGGACGTATGAAGACTTGCTCAGAGGAAGAAGGACCCGCTGGCGAGTGGTCCCCAGTCAGGTTAGCGCCGATTAGTTGATGAGGTTGCAAGTTTAGATAAAGGACCGGGACTTCCCCAAGGGAGACGGAACCCAGGGTTTTCGAATGGTTCCATACAGTGCCACTATGGAACCATTCGAAAACCCGAAGGCATATTGGAACCATTCGTCGGTGTCTCACATCGCCGCCAAGTTTGTCAAAATCCTCCTTAACTCGAAATTATTGCGGAATTTTCCATGGTCGTTGATGATGGATGCATGGAGGTACGCAGAGGCTCGATTTTTCAAATTTCAGTTTACAATGACTCATATACCATTGGTCGCTGATAAGCGCTTGGAAACAAAGCGAGCAGTGAGACGAATGGCGAAAAATGTTCGTGCTTCGATGCGGTCTTCTCTACGGAACAAAGACAGCAAGGAGTTCTGGCAAAATCTGGAGAAGTGAGGTGATCAACGTGCTTTCAGTCTTTGCAGTTGCATACGAAATTCATGATATTATAATCTGAGCGACAGTATTGCGAAGTATGAACACACTCATACGTTCTATGCAGGTTGTTATAGACATGTTAGAAATTTGCTCACCCTGCCGTAGTTGCAAGAAGTTGCTCAATCAGTAAAGATCCCTAACAACAACATCAAACAACAACTGGTCAGGAACAAGCTCTGCGATAGAACTAGCAGAGCTGACCATCAGAGTGTGTTATTTCCCAACACAGCAGAGTCGGTGATTGCGCACAATTGGGCGCGATCTACCAAAAAGAATCCAGATGCCTTTCGCTTACCTGAGACGCGGTGGGCGTGGCTGCGTTTTTCATTTGAACATGTCCTAAGAAGGGTTATGTGAGGGATATTCCAATATGAAACAACTGTATTGTCCTGTTTGTTACAAACACATGATTGCAAGCGTCCCAAAATGAAAATATCCAATAGGAAGAGAAGCCGGTGCCACATTACCAGGAAGTACCTTAGCCGCGCCTGCCGCAT